TGCTTGACAACAGTAAGGACAAACATAAATATGATTAAGTAAAAACGCTAAAAAATATGAAAGAGGTGAGGCTTGACTCGGTCATTCCTTCACCGGAATGCGCCATTAGTTCTACTTCCATTCGGAATCGTAGTGGCAGTTGAACGGAGCAACAACACAGCAATGGCTATGTATACGTGCAAGTGCTGGATTATGGATTACTCAATCATTAATATTTGCGAATAATCGAAGTTTCAGAACAGCGTTGATATCTTAATAAAGCAAAGAGGGTATTCCAACTACAGCTCCTGGGTATCTCGATTCTTGTCGACAACCAGCTGCATACACACAGCGGTGAGCCTTTGTCCAACATTTTCAGTGTCGAAGTCTTGTTCAATGCAATGAAGATTTCCCATTCCCTTTTCCTATTTCCGTTCAGGACCAACAAACGAATACCATCACACTGCTTCGTCGAGTATGCAACACACAACCTCCCATCAGCGTTTCCTGAAGACTTTGCTGTAATACCCAGTGATGGTCCTATTTTTGACAAGTCACTGAAATTGATTGGGTGAGCTTTTATAGATTGCAGTTTGATAGAGAGGAGCCATTGACCTTTCACTGGATCGAGCCCTGAATTGGACTCCTCTTCGAGGACATTGCAGCCTTCAATCTCCACCTAGCTACCAGTGATTTTCGCAAGCGAGCCAAACTAGGAGCCTATGCGCAACGCTCTGAAAATATTTTGTAGCGCTGCTCACCGCTCAGCGCATTCCACGGACGCTGTTCAATTACGTCGTTAAAATCGACGAACTCGATCCAGCTATCATAATCACTGCCTTTGTAGGCAAGCATCGGGATAAAATAGATGGGGAAGAGCAGTGCTTTTGAAAAGAAGAAGAAAGCAAGAGAAGCTCCCAACACGCCCCGGAACCCCTTTTGTTGAACGCATTCTAGCTTGAGATAGAGAAGGGCGTGTTGGACGAGTTTCTCGTGCTTAGCTTGCTGCTTAGTTGCTCTAATGCCAATGGACCGCAATGGAACCGCTGCAGCAACTGCGCCAGCGCTTTTCAAGCAGCGTCACATGGCAACCGATAGCGGAAGGCGGGGCTGGCGGACAAAGGAGTGGATTGCATGTCGAGGGAGCTAACAGCGCACTCATCGCACATTTTCAAGCCGCAAAAGGGCTATGTATCAACGCTTCTAAGCTTGCTTACTACGCATGGGTATGAAACAGGTGAACGTGCCTAATCCCAGGCGTGCTTTTAAGATCAAACCAAAAATGCCAATAGGCTTTCTCAATACTGCACCGCAAAGTCGTAATATGGAGGCATCTCAATAGCAATTCTACGCTTCACCGGTCATTTCAAAAATCCAGCGCATCGCTTGCGAATTACTGGCGCTATCCTTGAAAATGAAACCTTCGTGTTATCATCCTCACCGAGAGGGAAGAAGAGCACCCCCTCCCCCCCCCCCATCACTCTCAGACTTCATTTTCACCGCTGTTTTCATGCGTCCATTCAATAACGCTTCATTTCAGATACTTTGTGTCTGTTCCCTCGAAGAGAACATTATCACTGGATTCGGACGAAGTCGAAAGTGTTGCCCAGGTGATAGAAACGAACTGCAATCGAATAAAAAAGGAAGGCAGTGGTAAGCATCTGAAAAGAGGCCACTAAAAAGAAAAAAAAGGTGTCTTGCGAGTTGTTGTAGGGCGGACGCAAACCCTGCCCCGCGAACAGCGCACATGTGGATTAGAGGGTTATTTGGCACTTTTCCGCTTCTATACTCACTCGTGAGTAAACTACCGTAACCACGCTCATTTGGACGCAATCAACCGTATGCATTCAATCGCGGATTGCATCCTTAAGATAAAACATTTTATGAAAATTAAAAAAAAAACAGTACATCAGGGAGAAAATGGGGAGTTGGACGGGCAAAGGATGGTCCACGTGGACGATGTGTGGCGCTTCTTCCACGGAAAGCGTCTTGGCAACAAAGTTATAAGGTACAAAGAAGTGTAGAACGGGATCCGGTCATACCGTACTCTGGCGGTGTTGCGCGATTTTCTTTTTATTGCGAGGGTGCCTTTCTATGAAACGGCCTCACCTTGGAGGCGATAACATACAAATACCTATTAACAGTATGATTTCAAAAGGTAAGTTGTTGCAACGGTCATCGAGAGAAGAGCCGCAGTAAACTCGTTCAAATGAAAAGTCAACTAAGAAAGAAGGTGATTCTTCTTGGGTTTTTGAACATTTTGCTTTGTTTCTTCACGCAGGCACACCATCTAGCACCTGTGCTTTCATATGTCCTTTATGTGATGTATGGTATCGCAAGTCCCCAGAGCAGTCTTTCAAACGCTAACTCTAGCGCATCATTTCGTGCTTACTACATTCTGTGTAATTCATTCAACTTATGTGCAAATGAAAAGATTCAGTCATAAGGGGAAGTTTGATCGAAATATATGTACAATACAGCACAGGCTCATTCTCTTATGGGGTACAGCGGGGCCTAGTTATTGCTTCTTCGTGTGTCCACAGTATACATACTAAGACTGTACGCAAGATATCCTGTCAGGTATAGAACCCTGGAAGTATTCGGGTATATGTGCTGTGAATCATATGTTATCATTACTTTTGTACATCCTAGTGAAACCTCACGTGTGACGCATCCCTAAAGGCATCCTCGCCGCAACAATCACGGCTCTGTCTCACTCATAAATCACAACCTGTCACTCACAATCACCAACGTTGAGACCCATGTCCGATAAGAAGGAAAAGAACAAAAAACTGCATTTGTTCTGGTAAGCATTTCGGAAAATCGGAAGGTTGTCTACATGCCCAAATTCCCGCCGGACATCTGCCACAAATGCTGGCGGTGGGAACGCCTCTACTTAGTTCACGTACTGCTGTCAGGATAGGTCGTGCAGTGCCAAAAGCGAGACATGGAAAGAAGTCACAACTGACGCATTCATTTTGGGAAAGAGTGCAAGATTTTCCGGGAAAGATTCTTTTATGTTGTCCAAGCATCGAATGTTCTTAAATGCATCTAGCTCTACCAAACAAATGTTATGCGATCAATGATAACATATAGCCTTGAACATTTAGTGCCCGTTCAAGCATAAACCTCGAAGTAATTTTCTGTATGGAATTGCTTTGGTTTGTTCGCCCACATATACCGTTCTTTCTCTGGATTTGACCGTGTTGAATGCTAGCTCGCCGTTCACGTAAGCTTTGGTTTCAGGGCTGAAGATCATGTGCTTGTCGTCATCGGAAATTACGAAGTATTATGATATTATTGTCACACTCTCGTCTTCCACGCTGCTCTCGGTGGCGATATCGGTCGTAATAAGTCTGGTGGTCGTCATCGTGTGTACACGTCGTCTGATTCTGTCAATAGTGAGCGTCATTGTCATCAGTTGCGTCATTCTCTGGACCACTGCTGCACTTATAGTTCTAGGTCAGTGTTTGCGTTACAGCTGCGCTACATTGCTCAGGGACCAAATTGTGTTACCATATCACATCCCCTTCAAAAAGCGAGATTGTCGGGTTAAGACCAAACTCTACAACTGACAACGGCCTTTAAGAGGATTACGATTAGAAATGGAGTCGAGAAAAGTATTCACCTAGTTAAGTACCCTTCGTATAAACTGACCTAGTTGAATACGACCACGGACCTCCTGAGGGTGCGAACTGACGCGCAATTCGCATGGAAAAATTTGACCTCGGCGACCTATTATGCCTCAAAGTTGGCGGGTCTGGCGATCTCCGCCCACCGATCATCTGATCACTCGCCGCAGTTCTATACGTGGCGAGTGATTAGATAGCTGAGAGAGCGTATGTTGAGAGGGCACAGTCGCATCAATGCTCAAATCAACGGGCAAGGAAGGGGTCCCATTTCTCGGGTTCTGGGCCGTTTCTCATGGTTCTTCCTTCTTTCGTGTACCACTCACCATCCCTAGGTTAATTTGAAATGGGTTGCCTTTTTCATCGTGAATTCGTCCTTTAAGTAAATTTGGTTAGAAGTTGTGATAGCTGATTTCTGGTAAATGATAGCTGTAAGTTGTGACAATCGATAGAATACAACTGCAACAGGCTAATCATTTCATTGGCAGAAAACATTAACATTTTGTGAAGGCCGTCGTCACTTGTGGTGCATGGTCTGCACCCGACACTTTCTCGCTTTTTGAAGGGGAGGGTACCTCCAACTACAGGATTTTTGACTTTTCAAGTTGCAGAAGGAAGCGACGTAGAAAAAACGACATTGATCAGCCTTATGATGTAAACCATGCAACTCGATGGCCGCGGCAGTGAGACTAAGGGCGAAAAAAATCGCACATAATCTAACGCTAAACAGTGTTGAAAGCGTATAAATCTTTTGGCTTTACTCATGCTTTAGACTCAGCACTTGTTCTTTACGCCGCTATGCCAAAAAAATCCTTCAATTTCTGGTTTTGAAGTTTCGTAGTTTACATTGCCATATTCAGGCTGGGAATTGAGTGTTGTGGAGTCGACGATTATTGTGCTTACGATAGGTCTCAGCTTTGACTACAGTCTTCATTTTGCCGTATCCTATCGAGATGAAATCGAGAAGGAGATCAAAAACCGGATAAGGTTTGTTGTACCTACTTGGAAAAATCAAAAAGTGACTTGTAGTTTTGTAAGTGTTTTTTAAAGAGAAATGTGGTGGTGGAAAATACTCTTGAAAACTTTTCAGTAAGTGTGAGTCATCAGCTCACGCTGATTACGTCCCTGCCATTTGTACACACCGCCCGTCGCTGTCCGGGACTGAGCTGTCTCGAGAGGACTGCGGACTGCTGTATCGAGGCCTTCGGGTCGCGGTATGGCGGGAAACAGTTCAATCGCAATGGCTTGAACCGGGTAAAAGTCGTAACAAACTCTTGAAAACGCCGATGCCGTCTCTTCTGAGTTCACCGTCTCTTCCCAAAAACTCAGCTAATTCTCATTCATTTGAGAAGCCAACTCATTTTCTGGGCTGCATAGCTATTAAGGGCACACCAAGTGGAAATGGCCATTCCTGACAATACATAAATCGCTATATGTGTTTCGAATGGTGATCTTGAATCTACATTTCGAATATGTGAAATTTTGAACGGTTATGGAACGCCATAGACGAAGGGCAGCGGTGGTTGTTTACAGACGAGATGTCGTGAAGTCGATTAATTGACATTGGTGCTTTGCTATCAAGCATCTTGGCTGGAAACTTCCTTAACCATATCTGATCTCTT